CCTCCTGCTCATTGTCAGATAAGCCAGACCGGTTTATTTTTTCCTTTGGTTTTATTATTTTCTGCATCTAAGTAACTTTTAGACAAACCCTGTAGATCCCAGAAATTTCTACAGACCCCTTCCGAATTCGCGTGCCGGTTATTAAAAGGTCGGAACCCCTCCAATGGCGGAGCAACTGACATCGTGGAACGTGCAAGTCATTTAAAAAGATAGCGAAGCGAACGTCGTTGCGCGGCCAACGCTAGGAGCGGACGAGTCAAACAAAAACAGCGACGAAAGTGCAACGTCACTGCGCACATCACCTTTTTTTTGTGGGTGTTTTTTTTCTCTTCTAATCCAAACAAAGGCATAATGTTTGCCGTGACGTTGCGGTTTTAGTCCGCCATTAAGCAGGCGTTCCACGGCTGCGAACAGTGGGTATGTAGGGAGTATTTCGAAAAGGGTCTACACCGTTAGCATTATGGGAAAGATGTGACAGGTATTTTGTAGACCGCGTGGTGGTGAGCAAGTTTGAAATAGCCCGAGTCGGCGTCATGCGGTAAGGTGGTTTATTAGGCTATTTGGTTCATGGTTTAAAAAATATAAAAGCGCCGAAAACAACAGATACGTAGAAGTAAGACAACACAAGGCGCACTCCCAACTGTTCTTTATTCGGAAAGAACAAACATAATAAAGGTTCCATCAGCTTGTCATCGGCGTCACGCCATTTTATAAAATGCTGCATAGTTTCTTTGCGTAATTTTTTCTATCTTATTCGTTCACTACTTTCTTTGGAGTAGTTATTTGTTTCCAGCTTGCACTAGCTTTGTTTTTTTTCGCTCATGCGTGTGCAATGTTATTATCCAAGAACTTTCTTTGAAGCTTCCTCACTGTTTACCGGGTTTCCATTTTCCTCCAATACAATTGGCATTTCTTTCTAACCATACGATCTTTAAAGGGATGACGAACCGAACATTTCAGTATTCATAATAAGCGGAGCACTATTTTTGCATGAGTCAGCAGCCCCTGGTGTGCGCGAGCACACGCAACGAAATGGACGTGATCGTATTCCCCACTCACGCTTAATAAGCTCGAATGTGGGATATGATGACGTTAATTTCGTTGCGTGTGCTCGCGCACGCCAGCGGTTGCTGACTCATGGAAAGATAGTGCACCGCTTATTATAGACACTGAAATGCTCGCTTCACCATCCCTTTAACCTTCCTTCCTGTTAGCCGAGACAAATTCAAAACAAACGTGATCACAATCTTCTCCCATATGTTAAGAATAGCGGTTCTTAACATATGCTTAACATTTCGTGCCATGACAGGCACGAAAGTGCCCAACACCGAATTTCCTTCAGCAACGATTTTGGTGTTTGCGTCTGTGGTGGTTCGAATGCACAGTTATCAAATTAAATACAAGAAAGGACGTAAACATGGTTATATCATTTATTATCGGGTAATCAGGATACAAGGTGTCTACTTTTCTTCGCTAAATAAAGTAAACGCTGATAAGGGTCACAAAGAAAAAAGGTGATCAAGCCAGTGTCAGACTAACATTACGAATTAAAACCATGTTTGCGTTTGGCCCTCACTTCAACTTTCGGAACATTTTTGTTTTTTATCTTGCTTGTCGAGGGTTTTAAAGGAAATGTCAAGCATCACTGCCAAACAAGAGGCTGGTACGAATGAGTTCTTGATTACAGACAATCACACATAAGGGAAACAAATTTTTTTCCTTTTTAAGAAATAATTTTATTTTTGTGCCGTCATCTCTCGAGCTTCTTTTTTATAAATCACTTCTTAGATGGAAGCTGGAATACGCAGCCTCCGTTTGGGACCCCGGCATGGAATACCTCGTTCATTCATCGGAGGACGTCAAGAACAAATCCGCACGTTTCGCACTTTCCTACTACCACCGTACTTCAAGTGTAACCGCCATGAAACTATCGTTATCCTTACCCACCCTTGCTTTATGTAGACAATATTCTCGTCTGGTTCCTTTTTCACAAAATTTATCATAATCCGGCCATGCGTCACAATCTACTAACCGCTCCATATTGTATTTGCCGTCGTTTAGATCATAAGAACAAAGTGGGTGTCTTTCCATGCAACACTAATGCATTTTTTAACTCATTCATTCTGCGCACTTTTGTAGAATGAAACCACCTTCCTCATGACATTGCCACCATTGATGACCTGTGCATTTTTAAATATGCTCTATCTAACTTTTTTATTTTTCTGATATATGACTGTTCTTATTTTGACTGTGCTCACTTCTTTGTATTTCCCACGCCCCTCTGTAATGCCTTCCGATTTTGAGGGTGAATAAATAAATAAATAAATACGTGATTCACGGACTGTCTCAATAAGCGCGTTACGTCCTAATGAGCAGTGAGCAGCAAAGGAGAACAGAATGCTGTGTCGGAAACAACATCGACTGACTATAAAATGAAGGGCTCAAATTTAACTATATTAATAAAAACAACAGAAGAAATGTGAAATATATTTTATATACCTGCGTTCGATATGTCAATTGGTTTTTTTTATTGCTACATTTGAAATGTAACTACATGTATTTACCAGTGTTGGCTACTTCAGTACATCCTAGTGACAGTACTACTTCAAGTAGGTTTAGAGAACTTGTATTTCGCTTCATGTACATTCTCTGAGTATGCACTTGCACTTTCCATAATTTTTGTTTCTGGTACTTTCTGGGAGAGTACATTACCTGACGTCAAAGTACATTTCTTAAATTTGGTGTTGTTAAATTTGTGTAAAAAATGATGCTTTGTCAACTGTGAAGAAATAGCAGGAGGGATATTCTACTCTCACCAAAAGCACAAGCAGACAACCCATCGCTCTGTTTGTACCGGGGGTGGCTCGGTGAAATTAAGCTCATTCAATAAGCGTGCTTGGCTTTCCCAGTGCTATACAAACATTATGAGGTAGAATATAAAAGTTCACCAACCTCTAACCAAAAAAAAAAAAAAAGGAAAAAGGACGTATCATTACGTGAGAACGCCCTATCATCTTTCGAGTTTTCATCTGGCCATTTCTGCAAAAGAAGTAAGGACGGGTATAAGACTGATACAAATAAGTGCCGTATAAGTAATTGATTGTGTTAAATAGGGCGTCAGCGAGCGTAAAACAACTACTGGCCATTTGACTATTCAGTATTCGCTGCCATTTCCGAAAATAATTGATGCAGCCCCGATTACCTCTGAGGCAATAGATAGCAGTTTTAGAAAAAAATATACACTGTATAATTGAATAAAAGAGCAACATGAAAGATTGTGATAGAAAGTTTTTGTACTTTACTTCGAATGTATATTGTCTTTACAGTGCTTTACTTGAAGTACATTGCGCCCGCTGTACTTACTACTTTACTTAAATTACATAGCCTCTAATTTACTTTGTACCTTACCACAAGTACATGTATTTTACCAAGCACTGGTATTTATTACGTTGTATATTAATTATTCTTGTTTAATTATTTTAGGCAAATTATGTGTAGTCTTTTCAATTGATTTTATGCTTTCTTGTCTTGCACGTGCTTTGTTTACATCTTGAAATTTTGTATTTTATTAGTCCCTTTAAAGGCCGACGACCAGACCCAAGGTCCTGTAAGGTAGAAGATCCTCCTCACCGTGAGGGAGGGGAAAACAGGCAACGGTGGAAAGGATAAAAGGGGAGAGAGGAGGAAGAAGGCGTGAAGTGGAAAGCGCTAACTGGTCGTCGGCCTTTATCGAGCCTGTGCGGTATTTTGAATAAATAGTAAAATTCTCGAGCCCACGCTTAGCCCTTTTTAAGCTGTTATGACCACTCATAGCTTGAGAAACACATGGCTTCGCGTACCATGTTCATACTTCTCGCTTCGTTCTCCGGCGTTCTTGTCGACTAATCGCGCAATTACCATTGGTTGAGGAGTGATAATAATATGCTCGGGACCCGCCACGCCCTACGGTTTTTAGGCTGTCAGTGACAACAGTAACTATAACAGAAAACACATAGAAATGATCAACGGATGAAGCGCAGCGCGCCCAAGCGGCATTGCCATTTTAGTTAGCGTAACTTCGAACGTCGAGTCTACTATTCTGAGTCATGTTTACGTCATATAGACTGACCTTTGAGAAAAATGAAATGTTATTTAATGCAGTAGCGGACCCTTTAACCTTGATATTTCCACTTATCCTCCGAATCTGCATTTTTTTCCTAACTTTGTCTTACCAGTGCGTAGATCCGTTTAACCATTTTTCACAACATATCTATGTGTGAAATCTAACCAAAGATACATCAATCCATTCAATCATGAAATTAAATAAATAAAAAAGCAGCTTCGTAATAAAAAAAAAAGACGGAAAAAGATGTATTTCACAGGTCGGTTTTTTCTCCATAAAATTACAAAGCGTAGCTCCTTTTCTGTGAAAAATAGGACCAAGAAGCTTGCCAGGGTCTACGGCGGGTGGCGACGCAGACGACCAAGTCGAGTAGTGGGGTGTTTTTACGACGAACGAAGAACGTATTGACAAACATTCTACAAAAAAATTTAATTATTTTTCGCCCGAATATTAATGCAAGAATTGACAGCAATCGATTATGATAAGGGATACCAAAATTCTAACATGTTGGAATAAAGCGTAAGTAACTTACAAAAAAAAACTTTTTTTTTTTTGTATTAGCGAGGAGTGCCGGAGGAAAAAAAATATCTGCGCGGAGCTACAACGCACTCCGCACAGACTTATTGTGATTGACCTTTCTTCGTGTAATTCTGACCTTTCTCCAAACCCTTGCCTCCCTTTCAAACCCCATCGCATAGCAGAGCGCCTGACTCTAAAATGCGAACAGCGTGTTTTCGTTTTCTGAATTTCATAAATGTTTATTCTCGGGGCGCTCAATTTAATTCGTGAACACCGACGTCAAAGGGCACACGTGTAGTCTTTAGCTGTCTGTTTAAAGGTCCACAACACGTACACTTGGCCGTAGAGCATCTACGTGTTCGAGGCATTGCTGTTGGTTATGGATATCAGGTGGACGCTAGCGTATTTTTCGTTTTCTGTTTTATTGGTTTTAGGTGACGCTAGAAAGTCGAGTGAACCAGCAACCCTGAAACAACCAAAAGTCCCGAAGACGCCACAATCCTCGAAGTTAACAGCAGCCAACACGAAACAAGCAGCCCAGAGCAAAACACCAGCGTCAACACCTACATCACCAACAGCACCGTCAACCGATCCCCAAATATGTGGTAAATTTAGTTCAATCAAACTCCATAATGGTTTGGGTTAACGGTTGTTGCCGTTTAGTTTATATTAGATGTAATCGTATAGACTGGCATTGCACATGAACCGTTAGCCTTTTCTCGCGTTTCATATGTGGGCCAAACACTAGCAACACACGACGGAGTACCCTGTTTAAAGGGCACGCTGAGTATATACGATCGTCAATTTGATTTGGACAAAATTAGAAAACGAGGAAAGGTAAAATTACCGCGGCACTATGGCAAAAGAACCACGTGAAAAATCAACACGACTTAAAGGTGCCCTAAGGAGGTTTCTGAGATCTGCTAAATAGGGCGATAACTCGCTCTGCTGGCTCTAAGCATCCTAGAAATTGCTAAGTCACTGCGATACTCGGCCGATCTTCCTATTAAAAATGCAATCAAAGATCGCAACACGCCGTGGTCATCTCCGGCGATGGGAGAAGCATGTTTCGAAACCAGGACCACGTTATCAGCCATCAGCAAGCGCAGGACCCTCGCGCCTCCGACCGGCGGAACCGCGGAGTGATATCTCGAATGCGCGCGGCTCCTTGCCCCTACAGCCCGGACTACGATTCAACCTAGCGAGTGCTTGCTTGAGGGCTGACGACGGGACACATCACTAACACGGAAAACAACAACAAAAAGAAAACGAAACAAAAAAACATAGTACGCTGTTTTTAAGATGGTTATTGCAATATTGTGTTCCCTCGCCGCGAAATAAAATTTTTTTTACTACTCTTATTTGCTTTTATCACCTGTAAAAGCATACACATTTTGAAATAATAGCGTTTGCAATCTCAACCTAATGTCGTTTTAATTGGTCACATGTCGCCCTTGCTCACGGAACAATGTTCCTCCCATCACCGGTTACGATCTCAGTGTCTTCGATCTTTGATCGCATTTTTAATAGGAAAATCGGCTGCGGATAGTTAAGATTTCTGTATTTCAACAGTGCTTAGAGCCCACAAAGTGAGTTATTTTCATATTTAGGCGATTCCACAAACCTCCTTAGGGCACCTTTAAGACCTCACGCAACACAATTTTTCAACGTTGCAGTACTTGTTTCAACGTCTTAAGACTAAAATAGCATCTACGTGCTTTGTGCCTGCTACTAAACGTAAATGAGTGAGATATTATCATAATACAACTTTGTACTCGATAACTGTTAGGTTCTTCATTTGTGTTGCCATCCTACTCAGTGAGAGCATATGTTTTTCCCGTCGAGGGGCACGACGAGCTTAGGCTTTGAAAGACAGATATTTATGCTTGTATGTAAAAAGTGAAAGCCGTTTACAACTCCCTGTAACGCCGAATTAGAGCGCAGCTCTTGACGAGGAGGAGGGAAGGGTGCTGAGGGGGGGTTATGCGACTTCGGGGGTTGGGGGGGGGGGAGTCACGGGACCTCGGGGATGGGGTGTCACGTGACCTCGAGAGGGGGTGTCACGTGACCTCGGGGGGGGGGGGGGTCATGTTACCTCGGGGGGTCACGTGACCAAGGGGGGGGTTTACGTGACCTCGGGGGAGGGGGGTCACGTGAACCCCCTCCTCGAGGTCACCGAGGCTACCCGAGGTCCTCCCGAGGTCCTGCCGAACGAACCCGAGGTCCTCCCGAGGTCCTCCCGAGGTCCTCGAGGGGGGGGGGGGGGGGGGGAGGGAGGTCGCGGTAACGCCGACGGCGACGGCGACGCCGCTCAAGCCGGAAACGGGCGCCTGAGAGCTGCACTCTAAAACAAGAGTTACACGGAGACTGCAGCATGCGCCGATCCGCAGTGCTTAGAAAGCACGTTAATACTGTACACGAACGCTTTATTTTTGCTTCTAACAACTAGCAACAACGTGAGTTAATTAAAGGGGAACTCAGCCGATTTTTTGGTAATCTTTCAATTAAGCTGGAAATTTTAACACCACCTCAATAACCCTTTCTGAACTGATAACCAAAATATATTATAAAAATAAAATTTATTCGTCAAGTGATTGCATTTTCAAGTTTCGACGGCGGCGAGGGTTCCAGGAGGCGACTCTACTGGCAGCAATGAAACTTCCCTACTTCTCCCAACGCGCGTAAGTCACCGGGGGGAAGGCGGACCAGCGACTCGGGAAGCCACGAAGCGGCTTCCTGGACGCCAGCGATTGAGATTACATTATTAATTCTTTCAGAGCTTCAAGGTTGAATGTTTCCTTGCAATGGATAGCAATCTGTGATCGGCGGTAAATTGTAGAAACAGTTTTGGGAAAAGCTTATCTTTTAATCCTTGTTTTCATGGGAGAAAAAACAATGCGCTCCCCGGCACCAATGGAGGCCAGCCATGACGCATCGAATTATAGGCCCGTTTCCTTGCTCTGCTCGTGCAGCAAGGTTCTAGAGCACTTTTTATCCAGTCATCTCATGTCACATTTTGAATCGAATAATTTTTTATCATAGATCCAGCATGGTTTCCGGCGTGGCTGCTCCAGGGTAACTCAGCTCTTTTATATAGGAAATGAACTTGCAAAAGTCGTTGACAAGGGGGGGGGGGGGGGGGGGGGCAAAGGGATGTAGCATTCCTAGGTTTCGCCAAGGCTTTTGATCGCGTGTCACACAGCGAACTACTTACCAAGCTAAGAGTGATTCTAGGAAACGATAAGCTCTTGCGATGGTTGGATTCATACTTGAGCAACCGTCATCAGTTTGTTGAAGTAGGTGGGGTTTGTTCCCCAATTGTATCAGTTATCTCGGGCATTCCACAAGGATCGGTGCTGGGCCCACTGCTCTTTCTTGTTTTTTCTGAACGATTTGACCGTTGACGAGCGTATACACTGCCGGTTTTTTGCCGATGACTGTGTGCTTTTTACTGAAATAGCTTCAAGCAATGACCAACTTAATTTTATACAAGTGCCTGTGCTCAATTTCTCAATAGTGTAACGAATGGCAAATGTTGCTAAACAGCTCGAAAAGTGTACAAATGAGAGTAACGCGCAAAAGGTCACCCTTGGAATTCAACTACTGTATACAAAACTCCCCTTTACAAGCTGTGCACGAATTCAAATACTCAGGTGTCATTATCTCCTCGAACCTCAGTTGGAATAGTAACACATCCTGGCCTGCTCAGAAGGCATCAGCAAAGCTATGGTCATTGAAGAGGCGGCTGAAGCACTGTACCCCTGAAACCAAGCTTGCAATCTGCACGACAGTAATACGACGTTTTTTAGAATACGCGGATCTTGTTTGGGACCCTGCGACTAAACTTAATATTGATCGACTCGAAGGGGTACAGAAGAAAGCACTGCGCTTCATTTACAACGAATACAGAAGGATGAGCTCTATCACTAACTTGTACAATAGGTCGGAAATCGAGCTTCTTTCAACCCGGCGCAAAATTAATCGTCTAAAGCTTTTGTATCCCATGGTACATGACTCATTCCGTCACACACGACACAAGCACTGTAACGCAATTGTGGTACCTTACAGCAGAACCCAATGTTTAAAAAAAACGACTTTTTCGTACGAACCATTAACGAATAGAATAGTCTCCCTGCCAACATTACAAATGTCTCGTCCGTTCAGGAATTCGCCTCATTATTACAGCGTTATTTCTTAGATGTGCAGTCCTAGATGCTTTTTCTTTTACTAGCGTGTAATCTGGTTTCCTTCTTGTGTGCCCTCTCCTGCCTTGGCTGCCAAATGGCAGCCGGCAGTATGTATAAATACATAAAAACGTCAAGGTGCTTCTGCGTGCGCTGTGTGTCCAGAAAACTATAGTCCGTTGCAACTCAATAAAGTAGGGCGAGGGTAAGACGGCCCGGGGAGGAGGAAGCAGACGGAATCCTGGAGAAGAGAAGGGGAAATTTCTTCTGTCTTTAGCGTTCCGTCTGCTGCCTCCTCCCCGGCCCGTCTTACCCTCGCCCTACCTTCTTGAGTTGCAACGGACTATAGTGTCGCGTGAAACATTCTCACTTATGCTCGGAATACTTTACAGCCGCGTGCTGCTAGTTGAGTGTCCTTCTGCAGTTGAAACAGCTTCAGGAACGGCAAGCGCAAACTCAAGCCGGCTGTGACCACTACGACATCCGTCCAAGGAGGAGCGCTAATAATACCGAGAAAAACAGTTCAAAGCCTATCACTACAGTCGACATTTGGCGAAGTCAGATTTGTTATTCATAATTGCTTCAGTAATTATAGAGAGAGAGAGATAAACACTATATATGTTTTGGACATCGAATCTAGCTCGGGCTACTCTCGGAGTTCCACTCACGCGGCCGATCTGTTGAAGACGAGACGTCACACGCCTAAACAAAGTTCAAGTCGGAGTTCTTTCGACACATTCATATTCCTGTCTGGTATTACAGAGGTTTATGGAACAGGTTTTGAGCTCCATTGATGTGCGATACAGCCGTTGCCGGGTTTGTGTAATGGTTGGCGTGCAATATTCTCTCGCAGAAGAGGTGGTGAAAACGCCTTTATTTTATTCTATTTCGGGAAAATGTTATAGGGCTGAAATTTTTTTTATTAAACCATGAAAATGTTAATGTCGTTGAAGGGAGGCATGTAAACATACAGGGGATGGAAGCTGTACTAAACCAAAATTAATTAAAAAATATCTTATACAAAAATTCTCCTCTCCTATGTGCACTCGTGGATGAGTGTTTGAACCAGTTGCATTATTATCCGAAAGTAAAAAAGGAAGAGAAAAATACGGGAGGAAATTTTGCTTTGAGTAACTTTTTTTTCACTTATTTCGAATTAAAAGTTTTATGATGGATGTATGTAGCTTACGCAGTGTTGCAGTGTTGTATGTTCAAGCAAATATTCTTTATTTGGAGATAAATAGTGTATTTTGTGTATTTTATGCGCAATCAATTGCACCTTGATGTTTGGCTTGGTGGTTGCGGAGTTGTTTTAATTGTCCTTTTAACGCAATCTTCATGAACAGTAACCTGCCATTTTACCTACCCGAATGAGAATTAGAGTCAACATGTCTTAGACTTAGGACGCAGCCCAGCACGCT